AGGAGTAGTAGCAGGAGTAGTAGTAGCAGCAGCAGCAGCAGTAGTAGTAGTAGTAGTATTCGTACTAGTGTGGCACGAGTACGAGTAGAAGTAGGTGGTAGTGGTAGTGCCAGTAGAAACAGTTGGTGGCAGCAGCAGCAGCAACAGTAGCTGTGGTAGTAGTCGTCGAATTGTCGGCATCACAGTGGTAGTGGTGTTGGTGGTAGCAGAATCAGGAAAGTTGACCTGTGAGAGGCTTGACCTGAGACCAACGTTCAGAGGACTCGATGAAACTCGGTCCCCTGCCAATCCTTGCATGAGACAGGTGTGTAGCAGCGGATGTGGAGTTTTTCGCTTTACGACTCAGCGTGGTGTCGGCCTTCTGCTCTGCACGACATCTTCTCATGAATCAAATTTAAAGGACAGGTTTGCAATTCAGGAGCAAGGCCCCCTCCTCACCGCCACTGCATTGAGACTTACCATGCGAGCAGGGCAGATGTGTCTGTACATACCCCTTGGATTTGATCCGCTTCGTCTCTGCGGAGCTTGCTTTTCCATGTGGTGTTAGGGTTTAGAGTTTGCAGTGATGTTGTTGTGTGCAACTCTTGAGAGGCAGGCTCAGGTTTATGCTGACACAGACAGAAACCACGACGTCCTGAGTGGTCACAGGTACAGGAACGGTCGAGGGTCGAAGTTGTAGGGTCTAAGCAAGTCATCGATAATGCTTGAAGTTTCACTTCCTGAGTGCCAAGCACCAGACGGCTGAAAAGGCTGATGGAACTTCCGAGTGCCCGGGAAATAAGGGCGCTTTTCAACACGTAGGGTTTGGGCAGTTCTTACCGGAGAAAAGTCTACAGTCTACAGTCCTCAAGGACCGCCGGCATGTTGAAAAGCGCTTGTGTATCACAGGTCTTCCCATTTATTCAAATTCTCCCGGCATGATCATATCGACCGGTGAGCAAGATTTGTACGGTGGCGCCTGCTGCAGCTCGTTGTCCCTTTCTTCTGAATTTAGAGAGACTCCCCGGCTGAGGAGCGTGCCACGAGTTAACGGAGTGCATGGCATTAACGCAGTCGAAACAATGCAGGGGCCTTCGTGTGTGACGCATTAGCGTGCCCAGTAGGGGTATAAGGCAGCACGGCCAGTGCGGGCTACATCGTCGCATAAATTTCTGCCCCTACGCCGCTTCATGGACAAAGCAACTCCACCGAACTCCCAAACCCTAAACATCCCTAAACCCTCAACCTAATTCTAAACCAAAGAAATCCCGTAGTTGCACTTTAAGCTTGAGCAGCCGGTTTGCAGTGCGGGGCAGCTTGCAAAGCAGATGCTTTGGGTTCCGGGTTCAGGGGATTAGGGGTTTAGGATGGTTTAGGGCTTAGGGTTTACGAGTTTAGGGTTTGGGGCTTAGGATTTAGGGCTTAGGATTTAGGGGTTTAGGGTTTTTGGTTTTAGGAGTTAGGTATTCATGCTAGAAGCTTGAGGAAGCTGCAGGTCTGGATTTAGGGTAGTTCTCTAAAATAGGGTCCCTTTGTTGTTCCCCCTAATAGTACGGCCCGTTTTCAAAAGGACCCCAAAAGGGACGCCAATGTAGAGAAGTCTAGAGTTTACGGTTTAGGGTCTATGGGACTTAAATTTAAGGGTGCCGGGCTGCTAGGGATACATTACAAGGCCGCAAGAAAAGACAGGTTTCGAAAAACAAGTTATATACAGCTAAATGCCATTCCGAGCCGTACAATAGAAGCCTTCTTCTGAGGGCTCTTTCGTTATTATGAGTATTCCATACTGTACCACAGGCCCCTGAACCCTTAAATACCCTGAACCTTGACTTGTAAGACGTGAGAAATCCTTCGTCCGGAACAACACTTCGTAACATGCCCGACAAACACCCAACTCGTACTTGGTTTAAGGGGTTGGCTTCCCAACTGGCTAAGGTTCATGTTCTCTGGCAATGTCAACCGCCAGCAGATGATCGAATACCTCAGCTTGCTCCGGTGGCTGCCTTAATCGACGAGGGAGCTGACATGCTGATGAACGTAGGAACTTGATTAAGACACCCTGGCCCTATAACCCCAATGTATTAGGATTCATATTTATAAAGAACCCGAACAAAGACCCAAGGTTTCTTAATTCAGGTTCCCATGTTGTCCTGGAAAGACTTGAACAGATGACAGAGCAATCGGACTTCGGATGACGATCATAGATCATAAGCCAGAACCAACCTAAACCCTAAACCCTATAAACCCTAAACCCTATAAGCCCTAAACCACGAAGCACTGCGAGCCTCTTGAAAAACGGAGACTCTTGCATCCCAGACCGCTAAACGCAGGGTGTGCATTGACGGACCCAACACATTCCGTCTAAAGAACTGTAGAAACTTGCAAGGTTTTGAATGGCATACACCCAAAGCCTAAGCCCCGAAACCCCGCAAACCCTGTCTAGACTGCCCTATAAACTGAAAAACCCTTATAAGGCCTAAACTCTACACTCCCCGACAAGAAAAAAACCCTTTACGGAAAATGAATGCTTAGAGGAACCTCTAAACCCTAAACCCTAACCCTAAACCCGAAACCCTAAACCCTAAACTCTAAACCCTAAAACCCTAAAAAGCCCTAAAGCCCTAAACCCTAAACTCTAAACCCGAAACCCTAAACCCTAAACCCTAAACCCTAAACCCTGAACCCTGAACCCTAAACCCTAACACTAACCTAAACCCGAAACCCTAAACCCTAAACCCTAAACCCAAATTCGTTTTAATTTAAAAGTTCCCTTCGAAGGAACCCACGAGCCTCCTACGTCTGAGGTGGTCTCAGGCCACTTGGGTCTCTGCTCCGTATTCGATCCTGTGCGGCCCTCAACGAGCTTCCATGGATCCAGTCGGGTTGAGGGTTGAACCCTAAACCCTAAACCCTAAACCCCTAAACCCCTAAACCCCTAAACCCTAAACCCTAAACCCTAAACCCTAAACCCCTAAACCCTAAACCGGCTTAGGATTAGGGAGGTTTTGGGACTTCGGAGTCGGGTTTCTTGAGGGTTTGAGTTTAGGGTTTAGGGTTTAGGGCTTAGGGCTTTAATAACTTTTTTCACGGTTTTTGGGCTTAACATTTTTGGGATTCAGAGTTTAGTCTACGTAGGGGTCTCAGGGTTTTAGAGTCGAGAGGCTTAAGGCTGAGATGTTAGAGTTAGGGTTTAGGCTGCCTGTTCAGTGAGGCTTTTTTAGATTTAGCAGGGGGTCTATGCAGGGTCTAGGTGTGCTGGTGCACGTCGGGTTCAGCATTCAGGTTGTGGTCCAAGGTCTACGTCGTTAAGTAACGCAGTATGAACCATTTGCAGCTACAGCTGGGTACGGTGGAGGCGCACCCCTCATCAACCCTCTGCCAGAAGCGTCTGAGATGCAGAGTTTTATTCCGGACATTGATGGGGACAGTCAGAAATTATAAAAGCGATCCCGACATAGATAGTAGACCCTATGCTCAGAGAGAAGGCTCTCGGGAAATGCAATTTCGGCAGATGCGGGCGCAAACCCAGGTCAGGTAGTAGTTCAACTGTACAGGATTCGAGGCCTAGGTTTCAGGTTTTAGGTTTTAGGGTTTAGGGTTCAGGGTTTAGGGGTTTGGGGTTTAGGGGTTTAGGGTTTAGGGTTTAGGGTTTAGGGTCTGAGGTTTCAGGTTTTGGGTCATCTGGGGTTGGCAGGGTTGAAGTTTCTAGGCGGGCTTCGATTTATATCTTCGGACCGCCAATGGTTGCCACTCACGCTAAGGACCCTTTCCAGACTTTAATGCCCCTAAACCCTAAGCCCTAAACTCTACGATACTGGTAGCATGGCCAAGAGTCCATTTTCTGTAGTTTATGATTCCAGCTCTTGTCGTAGGCATCTGTGACAGACTTGTTACAAGCTTATTCTAGTACCCTAAGGCCCGACACCCCAAACCCTAAACCCTGAACTAGGTTTCTTAGCTTGCGCCCCCCGGGTCCCCGAACGACTTGAGGCCTTCCAGGACATACCGAGTGCCCTTCCATTTAATTTAGTCCTTATCTGGTCCTTAGTTCCTTAATAGAGGGTACTTGGAGTGTGTGTTAGAGGGTAATATAGGGGTCTTAATAATTAGAATAGGGTTTGGGGGTATATTGCACTACAATTATAACAAGTAACCCCCAAAACCCTATNNGGGGGGGGGGGGGGGGGTCGAGGTTGAAGCCTAGGTTCTGCAGTTGGTTGCTCGGGTGTATGGTCCCTTGGAATGTTGGCAGATGGAAAGTTCATAGGGTTTCAGGGTTGATTGCCACTGCAGAGTGTCACTATCCAAGGGAGCTCTGGGGGATCACTCTAATTATGATGTGATGAAGCCAAGGAAACCCGTCTGAAT